TTCGTCCTCCGGCGCTCCTCCGCCGGCGTCTGTGTTTTCCTCCTTGTTCGCAGCTCCTTTCTGGACGCTCGATCAAAATTTATTCACGCGCGGTGAAATTCTCCGCGGACTTCCAACCCGTGGCGCTGGGAAACTGTTTCGAAAGCAGCAATATTTCTTCGGTACACTTCGCCGGGGAACTTCGTCCCCGGAACGGTTCTCTCCTATTTTTTTCCCTTTTCTTTTCTGCTTTTTTTGTTTTTCTTTTGTTGCTTTTTTGTTTTCAGAAGGGGAACGAACTCTCTCGAAAACACGATCCCTCTCCCCGGCGTCGATTTTTAATTAATCCCCGCGCACACGGGATTCGCAGTTTGTTTCGGAAATTATTTCTCGAGCAGGATTACCCGTCTTGGCGCTTTGATCACGAAATTACGTTGAACCGAGACTCCGTTCCACCGGCTCGCGACTTTCCGCCGAGTTCGCGAACTGTAATTATTTACGTGTTTGTGAAATTAATCGAAACGGGAGGTGGTCCGTCCGTCCGGTTCTTCGGTGATCTTTTTCAATTTTACCGAGCTGCGATACCGTGATGGTTGCGGGTCCGGTTTTTTAGTTGCTGCTTTGTTGATCCTAGATTTACGTAACCCGTCAAAACGACGGGTCATTAATTTTTCCATTTACGATATGAATAATCGTAAAGTTACGTTTATGAGTTATTTATTCTATATATGTATATGTTATTGTTACTTTTACTTTGACTTGAAAAATGAATAATCGAATAATCGTATCTAGTCTTCCCAAGTTGTCTATTTTTGTTCACAAGCTGAGGGACAATTGGAGAGAATTTAATTCAGAGGCTTCTATAAGTCGAAATAAAACTTCCTTCAACTCGAATTATTTTCCACAAGTTCAAATGCATTCTTTTACCTCTGTAACCTCGAATTTAGAACAGTATTACAATAATTTTTATTATAGTATTATATATAGTATAATATAAATATAATATAAATTCACTAAATGAATTGTGTATAAAATAATAATTTACACATATAAAATACTGTATATATTTATAATAATAACTTATAATAATAACTTAATAATTTAAAATAGTATTATAAATATATACTGTATATATTTAGAATATTATTCTAAATTCGAGGTTACAGAGATAAAAGAACGCATCTGAACTCGTAGAAAATAATTCGAGTTGAAGGAAGTTCTATTTCGCTTTATAGAGGCTTTTACAACGCTGAGGAAGAGAACGAACGAAATATTCGCCTCATTCAGGTTTTGAAATTGAAGAAATTATCGAAGTATCGAGGTCCGACCATATTTTTCGATGGGAGTGTACGTATTCCTCGAAAATTCATCGGCGAGAGTGGGGGCACAGGACTCGTCTCATTTCACCTCGTTTCACCGGCGATTCCGCGCGTGAATAGATCATTTTCGCGAATATCGCAGTACGAGTTTAATCGGCAAACAATAGCACGGTCATTCGTCGATTCACGCCGAGGCCCGTTCTCTCCCCCCTGCCGCCGCTGGTCCCGCGGCGCGGCACGCGTGGGGCTGACATAAGGACATCGTATCCTCGGCAGAAATCCACGCAGAGAATTTCCCTCCATTTGGACGGAAACCCAATTGCGCGGTTCTATGCGTCATTAGCGCTGGAAACGGAGTTAACGCCGTTAAATTCAGGACGGTCGGTCCGGCCGCGACATTATTCCGGCTTCTGTGTGCGCGTTTTCGCGTTTCCCCACGCCTACGCTCGAATTTTCCATCCTGCACCGATTTCCGTCCGTGTCCCCGTGTTACGCGTGTCCTCTCGTTCGCGTCCGTCGTTGCGCGCGCGTCGCGTCGCGTCGCGTCGGTGGCTGTGTTCGCGCCGCGTTTGGTCGCGGGCGCAAGGTGGCGCGACCCGGCCCCTGCAGAATGATGACCCCCCATGGAAATGCGAATGAATGATCGTTCGTCCCGTCAAACTCGATTTCCGCAAACAAACTACACGTTTTTCGACCGGCCGTTCCCCGCTCCCGGCGAAATTTCGATCCCGAACTAATGAAGCCCCTTCTGATCCATCCGCGTTTTTACCGAACGACGGAATGATTTTTCTTCCGAGTGGTTCGACGAACCTTTCGTTGTCACCGTGAATGCGACGGCGAGAGAAAGTCCGCACACGCGACCCGTGGAAACGAAGATCGTGCTATCGTTTTCTTAACACGTTATGTGCCAAGCCTGTTTTTTTCTTCCTTCCTAAATATCGTGTTTGAGTAACACTTGTTGACATTTTTTTTTGGTAATAAGTAATACTTAGGCATGGTCTTTTATAACCTTCAAATGGTTTAAAATTTATTTATACAGAAGAGTGTAATTTTTTAGATTGAATTCGATACTTTTCTGTTCGGTTTGAGACGATTTCATATAAATGTAAAATCTATAACGCATTTCTTGAATTATTATAATTGTAATATAATAAAATATATGATTAATATAATATATAAGTAATATAATAATATATTAATATTTATTGCATTCCACGTAGTTGTACACCGATTTAGAAACTTGTTAAATATTTATCCTACAATAACATAACCTCAATTTCTTCGTAAAAGCCTGTACCAAATCTTCGAAAATGCCACAAGTAAAAAGCAAAAGCATTTGATATAAAAATCGATTGTAAAGTTTCTGTCATTACATTTTGTAATTTGTTCGCATTACGTTTTGGTTGAATCGAATAATCGAACAACAAATGCGTGCAGTACCATGTCGAATCGATAGAACTAAAGTGTCCAATAACTGGAACATGCATACATTTCTGTCCAATCACTGTGCCCTCGAAATTGTTTTACATTTTCTGCGATTAACGGGCTTCACTCTATAGAAAGGCTCATTTTGAAATGGATTTTGAACAGTACTCGGTTATTTTTATTGCTATTATTTAATTTTTTACTATTTTATTACTATTTATATATATACTATTATACTATTATTATTTATATTATTACTATTTATATTATACTATTTATTACTATTATTTACTATCATTTACTACTCTAAACTCAAATTTGTCCCAAGTTTTTTGGGAAACGCGCGCCCTGACGTCACGCAATTACATAAAGCTCCGCAGTCCACTAATAAATAAAATAATTCCGACACCGAGCGGCGGCGTTCCGCAGCGTTGATCTTTTGTCGAAAGTTCCCGGAGGAGCAAATGTTCTTTATGAAATTCCTTTTCGACCGCCTTAAGTGTTCAACCCCTTCGGGCTCTGTCGTTCTTTGCAAACACGAGCAGCTACCCCGCCGATATTTTGGAATCTTTTGTCCCGGCTCCCCCTGACCCCTCGCCCCAAAACACCCCGTTCCGTTTCTATTTCTTGTTTCCTCAAAGGGATGGAATCGGTGGGGCAGCTGGGAGGGGAACGGGGTGGCGGCGGGGCTAGCTGGTGGCCAAATAATAAGCTATTGAATCGGCAAATATGAGACGCGAGAAATTGCCCTGGCACCAGTCACCGCGCGCGACGTTCTACCCTTAAAGCAATATTGATTCGAACTGAAAAAAGAAATATGGCGGGGCGAGCGCGGCGGACCGGGATGGGGGAGGAAGTGGATCAGAGGCACGATGCAGATGCAACGTTGCCTCTCCGGGCGTCGCGTCGCGCCGATTCGAACGGATCACGGTGAATATGGGTACACGGAAGAAATTCTGGCTGCGGGCGACAGAATTAGAAACTTCTGCGCCTTTTTTTAATTATTTTTCCAACTGTCTTTATGATTAATAAGCTTTGGAAGTTTGTACGAAAGAATTCGCACGATATTGCGAGTTTGCCGACTGTGAACTTCGGGAATTTTTGTCGAACAAACCAGAAGAAGTATCTCGATGAAACTTTCCACAGTTGTTCACGCATATTTAATCTATACCTACGAATTTTTTCGCGAGCATACCTGGCGTAATTAGAAACTTCTAATTGTTCTAATTGAGCCCTGTAAGTCAATACGGGAGGCTACCCGATTTACGTCGTCTTGTGAATTTGCGATGGAGAAATTTCTGAATTTTTTCTTAATAAACCAGAAGAAGTATCTCGATGAAACTTTCTACAGTTGTTCACGCATATTTAATCTATACCTACGAATTTTTTCGCGAGCATACCTAGCGTAATTAGAAACTTCTACTTGTTCTAATTGAGCCCTGTAAATCAATTCGAGAGACTACCAGATTTGCGTCGTTTTGTGAATTTGCAGTGGGGAATTTTCTGAATTTTTTTCTTAACAAGCCGGACGAAACATCTCGACGATACTTTCCACAGTTGTTTATGCATACTTGATCTACGACCATGAATTTTTTCGCGCGCATACGTTGCGCGGCACCTCCGAAAAAAAATTCCCAAAGCGGAGCTCTCTGCGCCGGGGGAACGTTGAAATGCAGAGTGTTTGAAGATTTGCTTAAATTAGTCAAATACTTGATGAATATCTTCGTGGGGTATATCGCGCACAAGATTTACACGTTACCCGTGGAAAATATTGCGAGAGGTCGGCCGGAGACCCGGGAACGCAGAAACTCGATTACAGAGATAATTCTGTATTAATATTTGGATTTCGTGATAGCCGGTACGCGAAGAAGCTCGCCGGGCGCACGGCGTCGTTTGCATTTCAAAAAGTCCCTCGACCGTTTCGAAAGTTGAAATGATCCCCGAGCAACATCGGCTCTCGATTCGATCGGGCCAATTTTTTCTCCTCCAATTAGAACCCGAACGCAAAACAGTCCGGACATCTCAATTGGACGACAGCCGTCGGTTCTCTGTTAAAAAGTTTCTTTGCTCGGGACCGCGCGCCGGCCAGCGCGCAGGAATTTCCAAAAATTTCGAAACTACTTTTTTTCGGGAACGATGCCGGCCAAACATCGTCCGCCACGCCGCTTCGCGATAATTCTTTTTTGCGAGCGTGTTCGTACCAGCGTCATACTTGTCAAACTTAATTTTATTCGGTAACCGAGCGACCGTAACACAACCACCTTTTTTTTGTCGCAGGCGTTTTTGGAACTGGCGGATGAGAATTCTGCAGCAACGATGGTGGGTTACTACGGCACTTGCATCGCTCAGCTCCGTGGCAGAATAGTCTACGTCCAATTCAGCAATCATCGGGAGCTCAAGACGGATCAAACACACACCAACAACGCGGTGAGTACTCAAACATGTGAACGCTGTCAATAAAAACGCGACGTTTCCTCGTGAAAACCATTGAAATTCGAAGGTCTTAAACGGAGTTCAATTTCGGAGAAAAATTTCAGGAGTTTGCAGAGGTTTGTGCAAACTTGAATGTCACGAGATAGGCTTGTGCAAACTTCGGTGTTCGTTTCATACATCAGTTATTCCGTGAAACGATGCCAATCGAGACTTTTCACGACGGAACCTCGCTAATTAAACTCTCAGAAAAATATTCCGCTAGATTGTGAATATTTGTGCAAACCTGAGTGAAGCAGAATAATGTCTTCAAATCTTCTTTCTTCGGTGCTTTTACGGAATGGTGCATATCAAGGCTTTGCTCGATAGAACTTCATCAATTAAACCCTCATAAAAATATATAAATTGTCCGCAGATGTTTGTGCAATCTCAAGTGACGCAGAAAACGTGTGAAAAGCTTCTCCCATCGATTCCGGCACGAAATGAAGCGAATCGAGGTTCTCTATGAAACGTTACCGCGTCGAATTACATTTTCGAATCAGGCTACTGTTAGTTCGCGAATGTTTGCGCAAACCTGTGCCAGGCGAAAAAGTTCCGAAAAATTTCTCTCGCCGGCGCTCGCATGAAACGAATCGAAACGAAACTTTTCCCAATACACGCCGCAATTTTTGGCAAGGTTCGACAAAATTAGAATAGCCGAGAAAACGGACGCATTGTCGACCGAGAGTAATTGTTGTGGTGGTGGGAATTTCGGGCGGAGATTTTTCGCGGCACCGGCAACAGGATCCCGGGTATTAGAATCCGAGGCCGAGGGGGAATTTTAGTTCTACAATTATGCGGGCGCAGCGCCCGAAAAAAGGAGCGTGGACAGGAGTGGGGGCAGGGGTGGGAGGAGCATTCTGTTCGTAACTGAATACCATGTTAACATCAAAGAAAGAGGGCCCTGTCGGACGGGTTGCGTTCCTTGGGTTACGTTTTCCAGCGATAGCTTTTTTTTACGCTTTCGCGCTGAAATTAGTATTAAAACAAAACGAGGAGGGGCCGGGAGGGGGGAAGGCTGGAGCGGTGGGGATCGGTGGAAGGGAAAATGGCGGGTGGTAGTTCCTTGTAACTAAGGGAGCCGTGGTTTCTACGTCTACTGCCGGGGGTTGAATATATGAAAACCAAGCGGCGCGGTAATTTTCAGTCGCGGCGGCTAAAGAAAGCAGGTCCGCGCGCTCTTTGGATCCGCGCGTGAATCCCGGAGTTCGCTCTTCCATATTCAGTTATTGCGGAGCAGTTCGCGCAATTACTTTTTAACGAGTGGCTTGCCGTACCCTTAATATTTTCATAATTTCGCTCCGCGGGGACCGGCCGCTCGCTTCTTTTTTTTTGCTCGTGCACAAAAGCGCCACGGCTAACTTTTATCCGGCATGCTCCTTACCTGCGGGGGTCCCGACGAATTTCTAAACGATACTTTATTGGCGCTGATCGCCTGTCCGCTTCTTCTTACCTTCATGGTTTTTGAGGGAAAATCGTATTTTCAACTTTGGCAATTTTTCCTGCTTCAGCCGTAACAGTTAGGCGAATGAACCGTAGGTAGATCAATTCCTTAGACTCTCCCAAGTGAAGTTGTATATTTTGTTGCAACATTATATAGAGTTAAAGATTTTAAAGCCATTTTTAAAGAGAACCTGTTTCTAGAAATGTAATATTTAAGGATATTTTGTATTTTCAACTTTGGCAATTTTTCCTGCTTCAGCCGTAAGAGTTAGGCGAATGATCCTCAGGTAGATCAATTCCCTAGACTCTCCCAAGTGAAACAGTATATTTTTTTCCAACACTATGCAGAGTTAAATATTTTTGAGCAATTTTTAAACAAAATCTGTTCCGACGAACTTGCTATACACACTTGAAAATTTTGCTGAAAATATAAACGGATCAGGGAATTTACGTTGAAAATTGTGGGAGGGTTGGTGAACCCTTTTAGCAGCCAGGTCAAGTCAATAAACACAGGGACGTGGATTCTCCATTATAATTAATGCGTCCATAACTTATGAACAATCCCCGGAGAGAGAGTCCATCTTCTCCGTGGTGTCCTGTCTCCGTGATACTCCCCCGCACAGGTGACACTGTCCGTCATATGAGGTGTCTTTGTAGGTGTTTAGGTGTCCGCCGCACGTGTCCCTGTGCTTGTCATTCGCTTCGCTACTTGACACGTCTTAGTCAGGAATTCTGCGTCCCTGATACGTCGTAAAATAGCTGTTTTCTCGCGCGATCCAGTTTTCTCGCAGTTACCAGGTTTTTAAAACTATTTTCCAAAATTGTTTGATAGTTTAAATAAATTATATATATTATACAAGCTATAGGTATAATATATACAATAACCACTTCCTCATCCAATCATCAATTACCAGACTTACGCAAATTCTGATTGTCAAATGCATTTTCATTTTCGACAGATTTTCTAATATTATTTTCTAAAATTGTTCTATAATTCATGTTAATTCTACAATTTATATAACTTATGCAATTTTGATAAATTCTATAAATTTTATAAATTCTATAAATTATATAAATTCTAAGACAACTTTAGAAAATAATTTTGCAAAACCTGTCTAAAATTGAAATATATTCGACAATTAGAATTTATATAAATCTGGTAATTGGTGATTGGATGAGGAAATAGTTATTGTAAAAAATTGTATACGTAATCTGCACAGCATATATATCATTTATTTATAGAATATTGAAAAATTGTGGGAATGAAGAGATAACAATGACGAGGCGACGTTTAGCATTGAAGATTGATGGGACAGGAGTTGATCGGTCCAAGCGAGCGAAATAAATTTCGGTCAATTGTCGACGCGCCTGTTTTCCAGCACGTTTGCGGTTCCCACCTTTCTCCGATAGCAGCGATTTGTTAACAAAATACCGCTCTCGAAAGTCGCTTTAATTCTCCGGTTCAAACGTTCCTGGCGTAAATTGCACTACTGTGCACTCGATTTACGCACAACTTTGTCGCGATACAATTCCCAACCGGCGACGTGTAAACGTTCTCCTCGTTGACTTCATGTTTCACCTGTTTCCCATCGCCCCGGACGGTTTTTGTTGCGCCCAGCATTTCCATGCGGCTCGCGAACATTAACGAATAATCAGCGCGTACGTTTCTCTCCAGCGATGCGCGTCTAGTGGTATAAGGCGGCCATAGATCAGACACGCGCTCGACACGGTGCCTACAGAGCATTGAAAGTCGCCGACGTGTGTTCCTGTGTCTTAATTGTCAAGATCGAATTTAATTAGATTCCTCGTCATTTTTACTATAACGTGTGCACGAAGGCAGAAGTTCATTGAATTATTTACTCATTCGTCGCGAATAATTAACGCTTAGTAATTTATTTCTTACGAAATTGTCTTTATAGTTTAATTAGTTATAGATTTATTAATCTATATGATTAATTAAACTAATGACAGTGACTGACAGTGACTGGATGAATTAACGTGTTCATTTGCGATCGAAGAACACCAAATGAAATAATTAATTAATAAAGAATATATTATTTATAACTTCCAAAGACACTGTCAAGAAATTTATGCTCTAATTGAACAATCCTTTTGCATCCGTTATCGCGGGATAAATATTGTAAAAACCAATGTGTGCAATGAGGTCGGGGAAAAAATAATGTTAATAATTAAAATGCTGCAAAAATACTGTTCAATTAGAGCATAAATTTCTCGACGCTGTCTCTCGAAGTTACAGATAATATGTTCTTTGTTAATTAATTAATTCATCGGTGTTCTTCTCTGGCGAATGATCTTCACAGAATTTCCATGGACACGCGAATTCGTCCAGTCATTGTCAGGGGTTTCGAAAAAAGAACTGTTTAATTATGGCTGAAATTAATGACCGTCCGTCGGGATTAGCGATTTGTTAAGAACATCGGTGCGCGCAGGATAAATGGACGGAATTGTTCGAGCGTCGATTTAAAAAGACGGTATTTTAATGTACGCTCTTTGTGCTAGGAGAATTCTAGGTGAAAGGGGGATTTTAATTGGCGAGCGGGCCCCCGATAATAGTAATCGATACGATTCGCGCGGCGGCTTAAAAATGTAACGCGAGCCCCGGGACACGGAGGACAGGGGAATTAGTTCGCGATGAAATACGCCGGCGATTTCCGCGACGATACCTTTCGATATTTATTTGTATTGTTTTTCATCGCGGGCGGATCGAAGCGAAAGAAACGGGCGTCGAAACTTTTTATGACAGTCGACGCCCGCCCCTCTTCCCCCCTCCTGCGCCGTCGCCGCCGCCGCCGCCGCTCCTCCCCGCTATAAAGTGGAGAGAAATTACTTATTAATTGCGAAACTTCCCGGGGCCGCGGTTCTCGCTGGAACGGAACCAAGAGAAATACGAGTTTCCGGTATATTCCCTCCCTTCTTCGAGCTCCATCTTTTTCCACCATCTTTTCTTCGCCCTGCCATCCACTCCCGCCTTTTTTTCCTCCGAAAAACAATGAAAATAGTTTTGATCCACTTTACGACCGGATACTTCGGGAACAATGGTTTTGTTTACCGGGGTCGGATAAACCCGCGGGAGGTGTTAACTTCCCGAAAAGAGACAGAAATCCCGACCGATGATGTCCCATTGTCCCGAAGCTGCGACGATATTCTGCCGGGTTTGACGACGTTTGAATCCGGTATGCAACGGCGCAAATAAAAATGCTGGCTCTAGATAGACCAGAGATGCTGTAACTGAAGATAGAATGAAACTCTCTTATCCGAACAGACGCAGGAACAGTTCGAATAATAGAAATTTGGTTCCTATCCTCTTGCAAGCACCAACATGAGAAAACACGTTCGTAGAAAAGTACGTTCGACCGCGATTCGTGTGAGAAAACGTTCGAACAAAGAAAATTATACCGCATACTGAGGTAATTAAACGGATTTGAGGAGGTTCGAAGACGTTTGAAGCGGTTTGCGGAACGTTCGACGACGTTTGAAGCCGCGATGGATTTTCT